GCCTCGGTTTCCCCAGTTCTCAGTGCACTGTTCCAAGGTGGTGCCCCAAGATGAGAGGTCTGGTGGTGCCTACACCTGGATGAGAGCAGCTCTTGGGGATGATCTTCACAAAACACGTGGGAGAAGGAAGGCAGGGAGGGATGGGGGTGGGAGAAGGAAGCTGGAGGCTCTTTTAGCCTGAGGGCAAACTTCTCCTGGCCTCTCCATCTCTGGGGCCTGTGCAGCAGCTCAGGCAGCTCCAGGCTGATCTCTTCTTAGCAGACACCAAGAGAAGCATCCTGGCTCCCACTGCCACCCCACCTGTCCCTCCAGCCCACAACAAGGCTCTCCAAAAACCCATTCCACTGGGACACAGCAGCCCCTGGGACAGCACAGCCAGGACCAGGGATGTATTTTCCATGCTTTGGGCACTGGTGTGGGCTGGGGACACCCTGGTGCCACCAGAGCCGTTTGTCACCCCAGGCCACTCTGGAACAGGGTGCGGGGAGCTGCTCTGCTGCCTCTGCCAGGCATCACTCCTGTGCTGCACACCAAACCCTGCAGAGGAGCATCCCCGGGAGCCATATGGTGTCTCTGAGGCTTTGGTGGAGTGGAACAAAACCCAGAGCAGCCCAGCAGGTTGGCCTGTGAGCCATGGGGAGCCCAAGGGACCTGTCCTGCCCTGCTCGGGGCTGCCAGGAGTGTGCTGGTGTCTCCTGCCTGGTGGAGCTGCTGAGACTGGGGGGTTTGCAAGTAAAGGAGGATGGTTTTGTGGTCAAGTGATGCACGTGGAGGGAGCAGCATCCCAGAGCAGCATCCCAAACAGCAATCAGACAGCAGGCGGGCCCGGGGAGCTTGGGGACATGTGGTGGTTGAGCCTGTGCCAGGAAAGCCACAACTCAAACCTGTTCCCAGGGCTGAGGGCAGCACAGCCACACCACCATGGATTGCTGGAGATGCCTGCCCTGAGCTCTGCTCCTTCTGGGGGGATCAGCAGTGCTGCAGCACACAGGAGGAGGGCTACACGTGGCTCTAGCCTGATAGAGTCCACCCAAACAAGTCCCAAACCCACACAGGCCAGGAAAATTACTCAGGGGAATTTCTCTGGGATTTTACCATGCACTTCACTTTGTGATGCCCTGAGTTTGCTGTGGAAAGACACAGCCCAGGTTGGTTGAATCTCCAAACTTATATTAAGCATTTGCTGCCTGGTTTCCAGGAGCTGTGAGCAGCATTTCCCATGCTGGGAAACAGGCTGGAGAAGGGATGTGTGCCCTCCACCTGGAGCTGTGGGGGCTGCAGTGACTCACTGATATCAGGGGGATGCCCAGAAAGGACCTGTGGATGTTTATGTTGCAAAGGCTTCTGGAAGTTTGCTCTATAATTGCAGTTATGTAAAAAAAAAAAAAAAAAAAAAAAAAAAAAAAAAAAAAAAAAAAAAAAAAAAAAAAAAAAAGAAAAAATAAAAAAAAAGAGGCAGATTTCAGAGTTTACTCTAAATTAAAACAGGAGGAATGATTGTTTCTGACTGGTCATGGATTCATTTTTTAATTATGTACCCACAATGTGTTGTCATGCAAGAAAAATCTAACCCTTACAAAAACTCATTTCAAAATGAGTAAGTGCAACATTTTTTTAATCATTGTCTAAGAAGGCTGTTGCAGGACTGCTGGGACTTCCCTCTAACCCAGAATGATATTTTGGTATAATTAATGGGGCATTTGGACTCTGATAGCATTTTCTTCCATCCAGTTTCTCAGATCTCCATGAAGGTATGTAAGCTTTCCTCCCCCACTTTCTGCCTCCCAGAAGGAGAATGGGAACTGGAAAATTCACCCAGTTTCTTGGCAGAGAGGCTGAGGTGATGTGGCTCTGCACAAAGCAGGTCTGGCCGTGGACTCTGGCAGCAGTTTTATCTTCTTGCTGGGCTGGAAATCATGACCTCAGCCAATGCAGCAGGTGTTCTCTGGAACATTCTGCAGGGAAATTGGTTTAAATAGCAACAGCATAATTTATCCATCTGAACTAGCAAAGTGTTAATCTGTCTCAGGGGTGAAACAAAAATTCTGTGAAACTTTCAGGGCTTTGCTTGGTTTTTCTGCACCCAAACAAGCTCTCAGAGCTGTGCTTTGTGCTTGTCCATCACTGCCTGGAGAATGCCCAGCACAGAGAGGCCATTTCTGCTGATAACAGGAAAGTCAGAGTTTGGTCCTGCTATCAACAGGTTTTAGCTTGGAGAGAAACCTCCACTAACCAGCTGCTTTGTGGCATTTTTACAGCAAGATAAAAGACACCTGGAATTATTAGTCAGTCACCAAGCAAATGTTTTTATTGGTGAAATGTTCCAGAGGCTGTTTAGGGTCTGGATTGACAAAACTGCCAAAAAATTTACAGCCCTCCCCAGATTCAGGGCTGAGATGGGAGATGGAGATGATGGAGGTGATGGAGATGATGAAGCCACCTCATGCAAGAGCTGCAGGGGTAACCCAGGGCTGAAGTGTGGGGAGAAGCTCATTTGTAATGCAAATTCTGCTTGAGCCTGGCATAGACAGTGAAAAGCTCAAATTATTTTAAGCAGAGGACCAAAGTTCTCTCCATCCCTCTATCATCTTGGATCCTTGAAAAAACAAAACAAACCAGAAACCTCAGTGTGAACCATCTGACAATGATCAGCACTTGGCTTTTCTGGCAAGTGGTGCGCACAGGCGCCTGGAAATAGAACAATTAAGGGGAAAAAAGGGTATTGGAAGCAGCCAGGCTTTATGTTGTCTTGATGACAGCACGAAGTGATCATCCTCCAGCCTTATCTCTGTGAGCCTGCCAGGGAGAGCAGAGCTGCAGGGCTGGGGGGGCACACACAGGAGCTGCCTTGCTGCCTGCTTGCTGAGGGCTGCGGCTCAGCCTGGGCTCCCTGGGCAAGGAGAGCAGCAAGGGGGGCTGCTCTGGATGCAGGAAGCCCTTTCAGGCCCAAAGTTTGAGCTGGGAGGCTGGCCCATGCAGGCAGGCACTCGTGCATGGCAGCGACCTTCCTGCAGCTCCCCGGCCGCCCGCCCGCAGCTTTGCATGAGCAGATGTGCATTTCGTGCTGCTAAGAAAATCCTGTCAGTATTTGGGGCAACAAGGGGACAGAGCTCAGCCTTTCCCACGTGGGCAGTGATGCCATGCTGCCATTTCCATGGGGAGAGCCAAGGCTGTGCCATGTGCTGTGTCAGGCAGTGGTGCTGCCTGTACTCTGCCCACAGGCAGCTGTGGTAAAACCCTGTTTTCCAGACAGGCTGCATCTCTCCAGAGTGGTTTTCCCCTGAGCTGAGCTCTCCCCTGGCCTCAGCATCCTGATGCCTCTGAGAAGGCCCAGAGTTCTGCTGCACTCTGGTACAGAGGGCTGGTTAAAGCTTTTTAAAAGGGGCTTCAGGCAAGCTCTTGATCTGCACCAGAAAGATTCCCACTGGTTCTGCAGCCCTGTGGCAGACTTGGGGGGGGCAGCCTTTGTGCCTCACTGGTTGGGCTTTGCAGGGGGAACGTGTCACACAGGGTCACTTCCAATGATTCCTGCTGGATTCCTCACAGCCCTGTCCCAAACACGTCAGGCTATGAGCTGTGCTGCATCGCTGCTCCCCGAGGCACGTGGGTCCCTGGGGCTTTGCTGGCGTCTCTGAGGGAGGGCAGCGAGGCCGTGGAGGCTGGGGAAAACCCTTAACAAACCCAAACAAGCCCCCCAAAAGCCCATCCAGCCTGCAGAGTGGAGTTCAAGCCGTGGTGGGCTCTGTGGCTCCTCAGCATGCCAGGATCCTGTTGGCACAGGTGACATCCCTGTGAGCTCAGGATCACCTGGTGTGCCACAGCAGCCTGTGCTGTGCCTGGCTGGGACTGGGGGTGGCACTGAGCTGGGGAGCTTCGTGAGCCCCTCCCAGGCACAGGGCAGAGGAAATGGAATGATTTTCCTTGGCATGGGCAGGAGATGCTGGCATGGCTTTCCCAGTAACCCCAACATGTCTCTGCAGGGCCACCTGCCCCCAGCCAGGTGTGAGCCAGGTGCAGTGGAAGGAGCTGTGGCTTGTGGTGCAGTAACACCTGGGCTATGTTTTCCCCTCTGTATTAAATGCTTTGTTTCCTTAGAGCCATGTCTGCACTGAAGTCATTCTTCAACACTTAAAAGCAGTTGCTCTCATGGGCATTTTTGAAAGTGTTTGAAAAATCTGTGTGGGCATTACAGTGCTTGTTTTCTCTGATGACTATTTTTAATCTTGTTTTTCATTAAAAAAAAAAAGAATCAAGATAGATATGAATTGAAACTACGCCTTTAAATATGACGTGATATTGGCTGCTCAAAGCTAACACAAAATGAGGGAGAGCTGGAGCATGTGCCTAAAGGCTGAGAAAGGCTAAAGCTTTGAATGCCACTCTCTTGGCAGCACTGTGAGAGCAGAGCCCAGGAAGCATGGCCAGGGCACGGTGCTGGCCAGCTGGCACCTGAGGGGTTAAAGAAGTGGGTTCACCCTGCAAGGAAAGAGCTGGAAGTGGCCTTTCCAGGAGGAGATGCTGGCACCCCACTCTTCCCCTTGGCAGCCAGGCTTAGGAGCCAGCAGAGCACCCCTGAAGGACACAGGGCAGCACCAGGGGTGACGAAGGCAGCGAGGGGATGCTTCACTTCCATGCCCCGCTGGTTTCCAGTGCTGGAGAGGAGCTGTGCAGGGAGCTGCTCCCTCCCCCAGCTCCCTGGCCCCTCCTGGGGCTCTCTGCTTTTGTTCCCATGCTGGGGACTTGGCCAAGTGGTGTTTGGCCAGAGCCAAAGGCTGCGAGAGGCCAAGAGGGCGCGGCGCTCCCTGCAGCGAGCCAAGGATGGGATGGGGGCCCTGCAGCAGGGCACCCCAAAAAGGCAGAGCCTTGCCCCACAGTGCCACGTCACACTCAGTGCCATGCCATGCTCAGTGCCATGCTGCCTGGAGAGCAGCAGGAGCAGCTCTGCACGTCCTGCTTTGCATTTCAGGAACTCAGCCTTCCTGCAGGGATGGTCCCGGCTGAAGCCGGGCAGGGAGGACGGCAGCATGTGGGAAATGCAGTGGCACAGACCCTGATGGATGTCATGGTGAGCTATTTTAAGGCTTTATCTCACTAGCCTCTGACAAAAATGTGCTTTGGAGCAGAGCTTATCATGTGCAATTTGGCACATGGGGCCGGTGAGGGGACAGTGGAGCTGATCCCTGGAGCGGGGGCAGGTGACATGGAGCCAGCAGAGCAGCAGTGCTGTGTGCCACAGGCCATGGGCATGGACAGGGTCTGACCCAGCCAGCAGAAACCAGGGATCTGAGCCTAAATCCCAGCCCAGGTCTGAATCAGGGGAGTGCCAGCTTTGCTGCGCTCCTGGTTCCCAGGTGTCACCCAGAGCATGAGGATGGAGCATGAAGCTGGGTCCTTCCCAACTTTGGATCTTCCTAAACAGGTTTGATTGGTCAGGTGAATGATGCTGCCTCCTGTAGCCCCATTTCCCCACGGCTGTGCCCCAGGAGCTCAAGGCATGAAGAGCAGAGGAGGTGAGAGGTCCAGGCTGAGAGCCCTGGGGGCTGCCACCACCACCAGCTCCTGCTGCCTACCCTGAGGGGTGCTGGGCTGGGCTGGGCCACTGCAGACAAACCCTGCGAGGAGAGGAGGTGCAGCCCTGCAAACACCCAAACCCACAGCAGCACCCTGCACCGCTGGGACCCAGGGGCTCTGGGAGTTATCACCCTCAGCCTTTCGCTGCTGTGGCTGGAGATTAGGGAGCTGCTCCTTATCAGCCCCCGGTCCTGCCCCTGTGGAGCTCCCCTTTCAGTCTTACTCACTGGAGCAATGAGTAAGCCTGTTGTAAGCACCGTGCTGGGAGCTGTGGGGCAGCGGGCTGTGCTCGATGGGTTGGGGTGGGGGTTTTTAAAGCATCTCTGCAGTGACCTGCAGCCTGCAGGACATGCTGCAGACAGCCACCAGAGCTGGGGCTGTGCTGGAGCTCAGCTGCACATCCAGAGATCACTGTGTCTGATGAGGATGGGAAGAATTAATTCTGTGTGTGTGCAAAGGGGGGAGGGGAAATCCATGGTTCTCACATGCCCACAATCTCCAGTGTCTCACTTGCACCCAAAACCATTGCCTGTGCACAAAGCTCTTGGCCCAGCCTCTGAACTTGGGCCCAAATCTTGTGTTTGTCCATCCATCCATCCATCCATCATCCATCCATCATCCATCCATCCATCATCCATCCATCATCCATCCATCCATCCATCCATCCATCCATCCATCCATCCATCCATCCATCCATCCACCCATCCATCCATCCATCTATCCATCCATCCATCCATCCATCCATCATCCATCCAAGCAGGTCTCAGCCTCTTCCTCCTCCAGGATCCCTACACAGCGAGCATTTCCAGCAGTTTATTCAACAGCTACAAGAAAATATTCCTGCACTCTCCAGCTCCACGAGGCACATGACCCGGACAGTGCCAATGGAATAAACATTTGCATTTAATTTATGATCTTTCCTGCAGGCTCTGTCTTGGCTGGTGGCTGCAGAGGGGCTGGGGCTGCTCCCTGCCTGCAGGACAGGGCCCGGGGCAGTCTGGCAGCCTTTACCCAACTCCATGGGATATTTTTATTTTTTTTTCCATTCAAGCCTGTGCAGAATTCCTGGCAGGACTGGAGCTTCGTCCAGATTGCAGATGCCCAAAATATCTATCTTCTGGGCTGAGCAGACTGAGGCTGAAGTGCTCGTGGTTGGCTGATTGAGGAGGACATAGGGGAATGGAGAAAAACAGACAGAGTAAAACTGCCTGAACAGGTATGGCAGCAGTGGGCAAAAGGATGGGGATGCCCCTGGGGTCTGCCCCATCTCCAGGCATGGCTCTCACACCAACATGGGACATTTTTGCTGGTTTTCCCAGTCTGCTGAAGCCTGAGCTCAGTCCAGGACTGGGTTTTGCCCCAGATTAGCTTGTGCTACCAGCCATTAAATGTGCATTGCTGTTATGTTATGCTTCTCATTTTAAATTATCTTCTAAACTGCAGTTCACCTGGCATCTTCAGGAGCCAGGATTTGTGAAATAAAAGTTAAAATGACAGTTTAAATAAGGCATTTATGTGTATTCTTTGATATACACACACAAATGCACACAGCTACAGATAAAAACCACGTGTTTGTTCATACATACATGTTTCTAATCAGATTTATAATGTATGTAATAGAAATGTTTTTCTACATATAAAATTCATTGGAAACAGGAAACCAAATTAGTTTACCTTACTAAAGTGGCATGAAATAAAGAGCAGCGTGCACTGTTGAAAAGAAGGTAGGATGTGGTTTTTGGAGAACTTTTCTTCCCCTCAGGGCTCGTTCTACCATGTTTATGTCTAAAACCTGCTAATTTTAAAGCCAGCTCACAGGAGACTAATGGCATGACTCATTTATTTAATTTCACTTTCATTTTGCAGCGTTCAGGCTTGTTTAAGGTGCTCACATGTCAGCAGCTCATGCAAGCACACCAGTGGATGCTACAGGAGACCACAAATATCTGTGGGTGTCTGCACACACTGACCAGGACACAAACTGAACAGGAGCCACTTCAATGAGCTGATTTTAACAGATCTTTTGAGTGTTAAGCATGTAATAAGATGCTCAGTGCTATTTTCAAACCAAGGCATGTTCCTGGCTGATTTATAAAAGGCCACAGTCTCCACTTTTATTGGGCAAATGCTTTTAAAAATTGACTCCTGGGATTTTGGGTGCTCATTGATTCATTCTCTCAGAAGCCTCCATCTCTGACCTTTCCAGTACCAACTTTTCCATCTCCAACTGCTTCATCACCCTCCTGAGCATGGGCACACAGCTAATAAATCTGAGTCTTTAATTGCCCTCCCACATTGTGTGGCTTTATCTGAGCCATCATTCCTGGCGCTGTGCTTTGTTCCATCTCTCTGCTTTCAGGTTTGTGCTGCTGGAGTCAGCAAGAGGATAAAACTGTTATTTAGGTTTGGTTTTAGGTACAAATCCCCACAGTAACACACTCCATGGGTGTGGGGACACGATGTGTCTGACATGGCTGAGTTGGCTCTGCCTGGGGGAGGTACAAACCCTCTGCTTTTACTTCATGCAAGGTCCCATTTTTGGATTCTTTATACAGCTGAAACTATGTGAAAAAACTGTGTAGGGAAAAAAAAAAAAAAAAAAACAAACATAAAGCCACCAAAAAGTCCCTTGCTAAATACATCAGTAAGGGCAGAGGGTCCTTCTGGCCCAGTGCTGCCAGGACCATTAGGGTGGAAAAGCCTCAAGAACACCCAACACCTTTGGTACCCAAGGGAGATTTATTTATTGTCCCCCACAGTTTATCCCCGTGTCAGGAAGATTCCCACAGCCCTGCAGGAGTGGGGGCAGCAGTATCAGCAGGCACAGGTCTATCAGGCTGGGCAGAAGCTTTTCCAGGAACTATCTCGTGCCACACGTGACCGTGCCCTGCCAAGGGCGATACGTGACAGGCATTCACCGGCTCCCCGGCCAGTCAGTTGACTTTGTTATTCAGACTATTTTAGTGATGGTTTTTAATCCCAGGCTTAAGTTTTTCTTTTTCAATTATTTTTTTTTTTTTGCTCCCTCTTCTTTTTTTTTTACTCTCTGAACAAGGGAATCTCTATGCTGGCAGGATTCAGAGAGGCACAAAGGAGGGAAAAACAAGTTCCAGCCAGAAGAGAGGAAAAAAAAAAAAAAAGGATGCTGTTAGCATTCCCTGTATTTGAGGGGGTAAAACATTTTGCTGTCAGCTCTGTTTTAAAGGGTAAGTGCCAGCAGCAGCCCAGTTACTATGCAAATAAATAGTGTGCTCAGCCTTTCCCTCTCAGTGCAAAGTTTTGGGCTTGTCAGCCAGGGGAGCTGGGCTGTGGGGGCTGGCAGTGTCCCCATGTCCCCAGTGCTCCCATCTCATCCTGGGGATAGCCACTGAGACCTTGAGAGGAGCCCGTGGGGGTGTCCAGTGTCCCCCAGACAAGGTGGGACAGCGTGGGGAGCACTGCAGAGGTGTGGGCTGGGTACCCCCTGCTCCTTGTCAAAAGCAGATTCAGGCAGCAAAGCCCTTGGCTGTGCTTCTGTGCCAGGGGACACCCCAGCGAGAGGGAGTGCCTGGGAAGGGCAGAAATCTCACCCAAGGCATCCCTTTCATGGCAGGCAAGTGGGGAAGGTCTGGCAGCAGCCACACTGGGCTACAGGGCTGTCTCTCACTCACTGCTGCCAGGTAGAAAAGGAGGTGATGCCAGGACATGATGCCAGACTGTGGCTGGGTTCATCCCGATGATGACCAGCACCCCAGCACTGGTATTTATGGTGACACTTCCCCGTGACAGCAGAGGGGTTGCACACGCCCCAGCCCACACAAGCCAAACCTCCTCCTGACAGCCCCAGTGTGATGGTTTCCTATAAAAAAGATTTGAATTTGTCATGCAAATGACTGGGCATGTGGGCACAGCTGCTGAGAGGTGGCCTGGGCTGGGTCAGCTGCCAGCACGGCCACAGGGATGTGCCCAGGACAAGGTCTGGCCCCCAGAGCTGGTCCCACCCCTGGCACCTGCCAAGCAGATGGTGCTGCCAGGGCTGTGCTGCCAAAACCACCCAGCCCTTGCCACTCCTCCTGGTCCTCACCCCCTGCTCATCCCCTCCCTTGGCTTCTGTCTGGCTGCAGCAGAGCTGAGCTGCCCAGAATTAGCTTTTTTTTGTGCTGGGACAACATAAGGAGGTGGAAGAGGATGCTCCATCAAGCAATGCATTAAAGAAAAAAACAAAAAGGTACTTTTAAGCAATTTCAAAATCATTTAAGCCCTTGCCCTGTGCCACCCTGATCAGTCAGGAGCCAGGCAGCCTCTGCCTCTCACCCACAGCCCACTGCTCGTACTCTGCAGTTCTTGTCCTTCTACCACAGCAACCCTTTGAGCTCTTCCCACTTTCCCAGCACGGGACAGGGAAGTGCTCGGGCTCCTTTCCAGGGCAGCACCTGGCAGCACAGCCCTGCTCCCATTGCAAGGGCAATGGCAGAGCTCAGGATTCCGCAGTTTCACAAGGGGGTTTTTGCAAACAGGAAGGAGGCAGAGCCTGGGCTGCTGTTCTGATGTGGCTGCTTCTCGAAATGAGCCCGGAGCGAAGCCGAGCGGGATCCAGGAATGGCATGGGCAGCGCCGGGCCTGCGCCCTCGCTTCCTGGCAGGTCGGCCACCTTTCAGGAAATCAGACAGCTAGATGGAAAATCATCACTCTTTTCACTTCAGAGCACTCTGCACATGTGTTTTTCCAACAACAAACCCGTGTTCAGCAGCCTTGCTGTCCCCACTGCGCGGGGGAGATGCGTGTGCCTGGCTGAGGACAAGAGCCAGCTCAGCAGTGCCAGGCACCCCAGGGCTGCTGGGGCCAAGGGCTCCCCAGCCTCCCCCAGCACCCCCACCCAAAAATCCTCCCCTCCCTTCCCCTCCTGACAGGGAGAAAGAAGAATTGCTGAATAATCTCCAGCCCCGATAGCACTTCAAAGGCAGGGCCCGGGCCAGGCTGGATGCGGCGCTCGGCTCTCACTCCTCTGGCAGCCCCACAGCCTCTCCAGAAAGTAATGACTTAAAAAGGAAATAAATGTCACCCACAAGGCTGTAAGCAAAACCCCGGGCAGGATGAGCAGAGCCCCACCAGGATCTGCATTCTCACGCAGCACAAGCAAGGCAGGAGAGTTGTTTCCATTCATCAGGATGGGCTCTTCACTCCGAGGACTCCTGATGACATTAGACATGCCCACCGTGGGCATTTAAGGGCAGCCACAGTGCTGAACTGCCTCTGCTTTCATCCTCCTCCCCCAGGATGGCTTCAGGCATCACCACCTGAACCAGCAGCAGATGCTGGTGCCAAAAACACGGCCCTTCCTGGCACCCGGCCTGCTGTGGCCTTCACGGAGATGAACCAGATAACTGGCATGATCAAACAGAGTAATTTTATTTACTTGTACAGATTAATTCTTGAAGGTTGTAATTGTCAAAATCTGAACACCAAACTTCTAAAGCAAGTGGGTTGGGGGAAGTCAAATGCAGCACCGGAGCAGCGAATGAGGCTCAGGGGTGGAAGTCTGCTGCTGGCACCTGCCTGGTACCACCAAATCCCCTTAACCAGGACAGACCACTGGCAGACCACTCACTTTCAGAAAAATTCTATTTCAGAAAAATAACCCCCAACGTATTTTAAGCAAACAACAGAAGTGATGGCCCGAAAACTCTGGGATGAGATCCCATCTGCCCCTACTGCCTCTGGAGCTGCACCAGCATGGCAGCACCTCCCACCCTCTGCTCCAAGCAGTGTGAGGAAGCACTTGGCACCAGCCCACGAGGTTCTGTGAGCTCAGAAACCCTGAGGTAACCCTGAGGTGCCCCTGAGGACAGGGTGGGACACGCTGCAGGATGGCAGGAGGGGCTCCTGCCACAGGACATCCCCCAGCCCACGCTGGCACACTCGAGGGTGAAACCCAGCATGGCCAGACCAGGTGGGCTCGGAAATACTCCCTAAGGCACTGCAGCCGAGCAAACATGGTACCAATACAGCACTGAATAATCTTAAAAGTTAAAATAGTTTATTGCTGTCTTTGTAGAAATGCACTTACATCGCCTGTTCTCTTCCTTTATTTGGCTGTTGGATTACAGGCATAAAAAGGTTACATTTACCCATTTGTTCAGTGACATAACTCCTTTTTCTCTATTGCTCCACTCGTGATATTCTCCTAAACCTTGCTGGCCAACAGCCCCAAATCTCTTTTACATAAATACTGTAAATGTCTCCATAGGTTGCAGCATTATAACAAAAGATCTACCAAAGTAGACAAAATGTTCAGTATCCTTGGTTGTTTTTTTGCATTTAAAAATATACCTAAATTTGAGATAATCTTAACAGAGTAACAATTACAATAAGAAAATAGTACAGTGCGTTGACTAAAGGAATATTCTGCTCTCCTTCAAGCCAATATTCCCTTTTGCATGTTGAAGTGATTCAGCAATTACTTAAGAACTTTTACCTACATACAATAATTTAGTAAAATGAGAATTAAACAAGGCAGATACTTACTACTATTCTTCTGTCTGCAATTCACAGCTCATGCGAATAAAATCGCAATAAATATTAAAAAATAGTTTTTCTTTTGCTTTTTTTTTTTTTTTTTTTTTTTTTAATTTTTTTTTTTTTTTTTTTTATTTTTTTTTTAACCAAAAAATAAGATTGCTTTTTTTCCGTGTTCTCCGAGTACCTCTGTACCTCACCAGTAAATAAGAGGATTGTAGGCTGGATGAGGAAGGAAGGGGGCAGAAAAACCACAGGTGATGGAAGCAGACCGCGATATGTGCAAGAACCTGTCGCTTTCCTGTGAAACATTTCAGCCGCTTTTAGAACATCTTCAAGACAGTATCTGTCCAGATTGAAAAAACAAAAACAAAAACAAAAAAAAGGGATAAAAAACTTACCAGAAGTCCACTTTCATAAGCACAATCAGCCCTCAACACTATAAACAGCTTAGGCATCGATATGCACCTACATACGGGAGACAAAGGCATGGAGGCGGGTAGAGGAGGGGGGGACGATGATTTTTTTTTTTTGGTTGGTTTTCTTTTATTTTAATTTTTTTTCTTTTTTTTTGCCGTTTCGCTGTCCCAGTCGCATCCCTGCAGGGTGAGAGATTGTCCGGGCCCTCACTGCATGCGGTCGGGCTGCAGCTGCTGGGGCTGGTACTGCACGAAGGCGGCGGCGGGCGCCGCGGGCGTGCCGGCGGCCAGCGGCGGCTGCACCGCGCCCGTGTAGCCGTAGCCCACGAAGCCGGCGGCGGGCGAGGCGGCGTAGGGGTACTGGTCGTAGGCAGCTGTGGTGTACTGGGAATAGGCTTGGCTGGCGGCCGTGTAGTCGATGTAGGGAGACGTGATGGACTGCACCGGGGTGGGGATCACCACGCTGGGCTGGATGATGGCTTGGGGGTAAACGTAGTGAGGCGTGAGTCTGCCGAGGGAAAGGGAGAGGGTTAGTGAGGGGATGGGAGCCTCCCTGGCTTGCACAGCCCCATCTTCACTCCCAAATTCGTGCGCGTCAGCCACGGAAACGGTGCTGCCCCCGAGCTGGGGGATGAAAAGCAAACGCTCCTAGACCTCAGTCTAGCAGCAGTCCATGCAAGGTGAAGCATGGGCTGCTAACAAATACACATCCCCTGGTCCCCATGGCTTCTATCTCCAACTATCCAGGCTGCTGAAATCCAAAATAAGCTCCCTGGAAGGCCGTGACACAGCCTCTGGCTCACCTCATTTCCTCACACCCTGCCAGCCTTTCTGCCTCCTGTATTCTCCATCCAAACTTGCATGGAGGAGGGTCCTGAGGACCCACAGCCCCTGTGGGACATCCCCTGGCAGCAGGGACAACGTGCCACCCTCCACGTGTCCCACCAGGAATGACCACTGACCCCGGGTGCAGCCCCACACCCTCCATCCTGCCAGGTGTTATCAGTTACTACACACTTACACCATGTTTCCACAACACTGCATGTTTAGGGAATGCTACAGGGTGCTTGTTGTAAAACATGAGATATTCATGCTGCTTTCTTCCCCTAGTAGCACTCCCCAGTAGCTGGCAGGGCAGTGACACTCCTGTCACATCTGCCCCTGGCACCTCCGCTGCCCTTTCCACGAGGACCCAAAAGTGCAGCTTCTCCCAGGCTTGTCCCTGCCCTGAGGAGCTGTGCTGCTGAGAGGAACTTAACAATGTCACACCCAATTAAAGTCCACAGATGGAAAGATCCTGGAGGTGATTAATGCAGGAGTGCCTACTAATTTGTTAGAAACTGCTAATGAGGAGGAAAGGGGAGGGGGGAAAAAAGCATCAAAATGAAAGGGCTGTATTTTCCAAAGTGCCCACATCAAGGTCTCAAGAAGTTGGGCAAAAACTGTGCAAACCTGAAGGTTTAAGTACATCCACACAAACTGCCAAGGCCCAGGCTAAAATGGGGAATTTATGTGGCCTGAAGAGTGCTGCAGGGTGACACATCTGGGGTTTGTTTAAGGAATAGGGGGTGCAGGCTATCACCAGCAAATGGCACAGTACCAGTGGAACATCAGAGCCACATGCACCCTGGGGAGAAGAAGGTCCCTTTGGCCACTGCTTGCTGAACCACATAAGGCCACAGAATGAAGCAAAGCCATCCCCTAAAAGATTGTGCCAGCCACCCTGTCTCCAAACCCAACTCATTTTGGCCAATAAAAATTTCCCAAGGTAAAATTCTGCAGAGAGATTATGCAGATTCAAATATTTTGGGGATTTTTGTGTGGATGTGTGTGACAGCACATTTTCAAACACAACCACTTTTAAAAGCCTCCCACAGGCTCTTCACAAGGCACAGGGCTGTACGTGGTTACCCTCATTCTACCTGAGCATCCTAAATCTCAGCCACCACCTGCAGCATGCTGGGGTCCACCTGGGGCTGGTCCCTCCTACCCAGGGCTTCTCCCACTGGCTTTCCAACCAGCACTGGATGGTTCAGGCTGCTCTTCAGACAGGAGAAAGGCTTCTCACAAACCAGGGCTCATCTGAACTGAGTTTCCTCTCCTTTTCCCACTCCCATATGCAGTTTGTTTTTGCTTGAGACAACTGGCATGACAAGAGGATGACTGTTCTCTCCCCACACAGCAACACTGCCTCTGAGATCAGGGTCCTTCCATATGGCCAGGGAGGAGGGGTGGTGGTGAGCAGCACCTCCACCTTTAATTCAGGGTAAGACCTTCTTCTGAGGCCACCAGACACCCCTGGACAGCAAGGGGGACCTCACAGTCCTCCAGCCCATAAGCACACCATACCCAGCATCACCCTGTGGGTAACAGGAATGAGATGAGGCAGCAGAAATGCACAGAATCCCTTTTTGTTCAGCTCTGCTCTAAACTGAGGCCAGCACAGCTGAATCAGAGCTGGAGCTCAGGCACCAGCTCAGCCCAAGGGCACTTCATGTCACACACTCACACAGTGGCAGCCCCCTCTTGGAGGAGCAGGGCTGAGTCCCACCCAGGGTTCCTCATGCCTCTCACGGTGGGATTTTCTCTTTATTTTGTTTTAAATAACTCAGAGGTGCAATGCCAGGGCAGGCTTTGCCCATGTTTACTGCTTTACCCTGGGTAGATCAGCCAACAGCCTGCATCCCAGACTGGGGATGGATGCTCTGGCTGCTCCTCATTTCTCCCTGCCTGTCACCAGGTTTCCTGGTACTCCAGGGCCCAACAAAGTTAAAATCACTCCACAAATGCAACAAAAAATGTACAATCCACTAAAAACCACCCAGTGGCAGGAGGGGCCTGTACTTTTCCTGCCCACAGGAATTCCACTTGTGCTCACCAAATGCCCAGGACAGCCTGAGCATCACCCTGCATGAGCAGGTCCTCCATGTCCCTTGCTGCCACCCAGCTTCTCTCCTGAGCTGGCACAGCCCATCTGGGGGACGTGGTGCCATCAGGGTGAGTGGATATTCCCAGCTCATCCCAAGAAACTCTGCATTACTGGCTTTGCTTTCACATACAGAGTTCCTCAGTGGGCTTGGAGACAGCAAATCTGCAACATCCTGCACTACCCTTTTCCTTCAGCGAGGAAAAACTCCAGCTTTTCAGTGCTACTTGGAATGAAAAGCACCATTAGCTTGGAAGGCAGAATGTACTCCTGGGCCCTGCTCTCAGAAATCCACCCCACCAGCCCAGTACATACATACACAAGCACACATCACTCACAACAGCTGGTACTGCACTAAAAAATCACACTCAGCAACTCCAAGATCTGCTTCTAAAGGGAATGCCAATGTAAAAGGGAAGGTTCTTTTGGTCTGTAGGATTTCAATAATTCAGTTAGACATTTCAATCAAGATATTATGCAGTTTGGTCTTCTGAATTAGGTGGACAGATGGCAATTCATCAATCAAACCAAACACACAACCCAAAGTAAGGTCACTTTGATGACTTGCAGCTACAAACAAAACAAACCAGTGCAGTAGGATGAAGTTCTCTGCTGGCTACATTTAGCATCCACAGAAAATCTCGAAATATTTCCCCTTCTTCCATTACTCCTGAACATGATCTTTCAGGAGATAACAAAAAGCAAGCTGTTCTGGAGTTCTCTTTCTAGAAAACAGCAAACTCTAATCTGAATTTCTACAGGATGAGTCACAGCTGTGTTTTAAGATGCCTTTCCTTTCCTCCTTCCCTGCAGTTCTCCTCCATCCCCCACGATGGGCCCTGCCAGCCAGAGGAGAACTTCACCAGAAACACACACGGTGTGATTATAAAACACCAACCAAGTGATCAGCCGTGGCCACCACACACCAAAGTCACCCCGTGAGCAGCAGAGGGATGAGATGCTGCTGGCACAACAAGGAGCCACGGGCAAAGCCACCCAGCACAAGGAGCATGGTCAAAGCTAAGCCCAGAGTCACAGGAGGGACAGCAGGAGGGACAGCAGGGACCTGGCAGGGCCCTGGTGGTGCCAGCCCACGCTCCTGACCACACTGCCCTGGCAGACAGAACTGAACCAGAACAGAGATGGTGACAGCCACTGGCAGAGGGACACGGGCTCTGTCCTGCTTTGGTGGGGGACAGAACAAAAGGGGCCCCGTTTTGGTGCAGGTCTGGGTGGAGATGTTCAAACACGTCAGGGGAGGCACCCGTGGCTCCAGGAAGATGAAAAAGTCCCTTTCAAAACCTGCAACCAACCAGGTCCCCCCACCACAGCAGCAGGGCAGGGCTGGATGGAGGACAGCAAGAAAAAAAGGGACAAGTCAGAAGGAAATGTGTCCCACTTCTCTCCCCAAACACTGGGAAGAGGAACGAGCTCTCATCAGCAGAGCTCATCTCAGAGACACTTGATGTATTTGACTATTTTGTATCAGATTTACACCTAAAATGTGCTTTAGCTGCACCTTCTCAGCTCCCTGCCATCCTGCAGGACTTCCTACACATGAGCCATGAGCTGTTCCTGCAAGCTGCTCCTGCATGCTGCACGAGTTTGGGACAGCAACAAGGTGGGAGTTCCTGACCCCCTCGGTCTCTGCCAGCCCTGCTGGGAGCTGGTTTTGTCAGTTCTGAAGAGGTGGAGACAGCTGCAGCCCTCTGTCAGGAGGGACACGGCATCACACAAACATTTGGGAAACAAGGAGAGGCACAGGGCTCTTGGCAGCCTCACAGAGATCAGCACACAAATGCCACCACCACGACCAGCCTTTTATTCCTTGAAGAATAAAAGAAACAGAGCCCTTTGTGTCTGCCAGTGAAGGCACAAATTCTGGCATTTGACCCCAGGAATTTGGCCTCCATTTCCACTAGAGCTGACCCACTGGCTGCCACAGGGACGCCCACGCTGCCACAGCACGTGGTGGCAGGGGGTGCTGGGTGCTGCAGGACCAGCTGAGCACAGCCCCTGGGGATGTGACACCTCTGCACGGCAGAGCCAAAGGTGTATTTTGAAGTGGGCTCCTGAGTTGCAAGCTGCTCTGGGAAGCACACCCCACACTTGCACTGGCAGTGCCACGGCACCACGGCAGAGCTGGAGATGCAGGCACTCATCCTGGCGTCATTCCCACTCCCAGGAATCGTTCCTGAGGGACACTCCCAAGCCAGCAAGCACTCACCTCGAGGAGACCCCCAGGGCACGTGTGTGGGGTGCAGGCAGGGCTGGCCGCCGGTGTCATACGGGCCCCAGCCACGATGACAGGCTGTGGAAATGTGAGAAATTCAGGTGCTGTTCTCAGCCCACACACGAGGAGGAGGCTGCAGGATGTCCCTGCCTGCCCAGCAGCACTCTCACTCCAGGAGGGCATCACAGTTTATCCACTAACACTTGGGAGCAGATCGGGACATGGGTTGTGCCCTGATCACTCCACCATCCCTCACCATTCCCTGACAGGGCTGGGTTCGAACCACAACACGACAAACCTCCAACTCCTGAAGTGTCCCTACTAAAGCTGATTTAAAAATGCACTGAAA